TTCTGCTTATAGTGGGTGGTTAGTAAAACTTGGAGATGACAAACTTGATAGCAGTTTTCATTTAGGAATGGATATTATTGAAATCCCCTGTGAAATGATTTGTAATGGATCTATTATTGAAGCTACCTTTGGAAATACTATATCTATAGTTAATATTAAAAATATGTCTAAATGTGAGATTCTTTGTCCAAAAAATGCGCACATTCAAAAATTAAATGAAGACATTTTGGATATATTTGATGGAGATTTTCACACATATTTGATGATTCCATTGATTCAACAGATGATGCTGAAAAGGAAAATTTTGCCATCAAATTTCTTAATAGTATTACTCCTTCAGGAATGCTGTGTCATAAATTAAAATTGAAAGTGAGTGCAATCATCATGCTATTGAGAAATCTTAATAGTAAATGGGATCTTTGTAATGGTACCAGATTTGTTATCAAAAGATTACAACCTAACATTATCAAAGCTGAAGTATTAACAGGATCTGCAGAGGGAGAGGCTGTTCTGATTCCATGAATTGATTTGTCCCCATCTGACACTGGCCTCCCACTTAAATTGATTCAACGACAGTTTCCTGCGATGCCAGCATTTGTAATGACTATTGATAAATCACAAGGCCAAACTCTAGATAAAGTCGTCATATTCCTACCTGAACCCATGTTGCTTTCTCTCGAGTTTGAAGAGCATGTGATGTTACAGTTAAAGTTCTAAGTACTTCAGCACAAGGGAAATTAGTCAAGCACTCTGAAAGTGTTTTCACTATTAATGTGGTGTACAGGGAGATATTAGACTAAGTTAAATCACTTTATCACTCATTGTTTGCATCATTGTTGTTTTATATCATGTTTTTGTCATTTTTATATCATGCCTCTGTTGTTATATCCTTTTGTTACTGTTTATTTATTAATGAATTTATATATTATTTTCATATACACTTTACTAATTTCCTTTCATCTCTCACACTTCTATTATAGAGAAAGAGCAAATAGCAATATTAAAATATCTCTGCTGCCGAAACCGGTTTGGCTCAGTGGATAGAGCGTCAACCTGCGGACTGAAGGGTCCCAGGTTCAATTCCGGTCAAGGGCATGTACCTGGGTTTCGGGCACATCCCCAGTAGGAGATGTGCAGGAGGCAGCTGATTGATGTTTCTCTCTCATCGATGTTTCTAACTCTCTATCTCTTTCCCTTCCTCACTGTAAAAAATCAATAAGATATATTTAAAAAAAAAAAAAAAAA